ATTAAACAAATGCATCAAAAACATTATACATATACTAGGCAGGCTCCTATGGAAAGAAATACAGAAGAGTCAGGATAGTCAAAATAGGTTGCTGGAAGTTTAACTACATACCATTGCAATAAAAAAAATGGGGGCAACTCAGGGAATCATTGTGGAGGCATAGGCGGCCCTTGATTGAGCTAAGCACTAAAAGGGATATATATAAGAAATGGAAGATAAGTAAAATCACCAGTTAGGTATACCAGCAAGCTGGTAATATCTGCAGAAAGTTAGAAAGAACAATTTTGAATGCCCTCACACTTGTAAGGAAAGCTAAAATCAACAAGAAAGGCTTTTCTGGCTCTTAGTAATAAGATGAGGAAAAGGGAACAGGTGGTCTTGCTGCTTAGGAAAGATTTAGGATGGTAACATGTCACCGAGGCAAGGCAGAACTCATGTCCTTCTCCCCAGACGGGAACTGTATTTAAATGGAGCTAAGCAGAACAATGGGCAAGGAGGGTGTGAAAACCCAAGGCAAGTAAAGAGATGGGTAAGGAGCACCAACCACCGTGAATGAGTTTAAGTCTCCAGGACCAGACCTATTATGTCTTGGAGCTTGTGGATGTCATCCTGGAACTCTTTTCTGTCTTGTTTCAGAAATTTCGGAGGACAGGTATAGTACTAGAGGAGGGAAAATGTCGATCCTGCTTTCAAAAAGGAGGGGGAGAGAGAGAAAAAAAAAGAAGTGGAAAGCTAGTCATATCAATTTGATTTCAAAATATGGGTAAAATGTGGCAGAAATCAGCATGGGTTTATCAATAGTAAACCGTAATAAACCAACCTGATCTCCTTTTTCAATAGAGTGACCAGTTAGCTGACCAGGCAAATGTGGCAGACATTGTGTAACTCAAGTTTTATGTTAGGGTAGAAAAAAAAAGGCACGAATTGAAGATAGAGAGGACATACTGGATGACAATGCATGCAAAAGAGGTTTGAGTGTTCTGGTGATTCACAAGATGAAAATGAGTCAACAGTGTGTTGTAGCTGCAAAAAGAGCAAATACAGTTTCCAGGCTACATCAATAATAGTATCAAGGTCAAGAGAAGTCACTGTTCCTTTCTATTCTACATTGGTCAAATGCACCTAAAATACTTTATCCAGTTGTGAACATCACATTTTAGGAAAGACATTGACAAACTGGAGCACGTCTGGAAGAAAATAATTAAAAAGATAAGGAACTTGAAGGGAGAAAATTGAAGGGATAAAATTACGAACTGTTGGAGGCCAAATGTGCTTAGCATGGAGATAAAAAGCCTGTGGAGAGACATGATAGCTGTCTTCAAGTACTTGAATTGTTCAGAGTTCTTCCAGAAGATAGGAAAAGAAACTGCATTTAAATTACAAGGAAGTTTAAGTTGGGCATAAGGAAAAAAGGTCTAATAGTAAACGTATAATAGTAAATAGATTGTATGAAAAAGCGATAGACTCTCCTTTGTGGGAAGTGTCTGAACACATGGTGAATGGCCAACTGGTGGGGATGCTTTAATAATGGATTCCTACAATGGGCAAGGGGTTGGACTAGATGATCTCCAAGTTACCTTCCAGCTCTTATAATCTGTGACTTTATATATGAACTTTCAGTGGATACATGCTTCTGGATTAGAAAAACTCTGCTTAAAGAAAATAACACATTTATTTCTACAGCAGCTTCCACACAGCAGACACCTACCATACTTTGCATGATTAAGAAACAACATAGCCAAGAACCGGTCTTAAGTATAATTCAACTATGGTGAATCCAACAGTTGATGCTGAATTTCTGTTCCCCATTATGACTTTTCCCTCTCCTCCTATCTGCAATACTCTGCTTGCCTCATGCATATTAACTAAGCACCAAACCTCAAAGAAGATTCAAGGTAGAGAGCAGAGGAATTCAATTTTGCCAGTGATCTCTGTTCTGCTAGTGTAAAGACACCACTGGATATATCCTTAAGTATCCATACACCGCCCTAAAAACCTGTTCAGATATTGCTTCTTAATATACTTTTGCACACTGTTTACATACACTGTCAGTTATGTTAGATAGTGAATGGTATAATGACTAAGTTTATTTCTAATTTCTTATATAAATGCTTAAGGTCATAGGCCATGCAAATTACAGATTCCCACTGTAGAGCAAGCTCTCTTATAAATGTCTCAAAGAGGGTGGAAAGGGAGAGCCCATACAGTGAGGCAAAAAAGTATTTAGTCAGCCACCAATTGTGCAAGTTCTCCCACTTAAAAAGATGAGAGAGGC